TCACATGACAAGGGCATGCCCTTTGGACTTGAGGCATGCCCATAGGCATGCCCCATGCCCCTGTGCCCTGAACTCTAGATGGCTTGCTTATTGAAGAAGACATCGATATTTATTTATAAATCTTTGTGATTTAATTCTAAATGGATTTCATAATTTTTCATAATTAAAATTTAATCATCTTAAATAGATGTTGCAATTAGTGAATTGTCTACGTAATCCCAATACTGATTGTTCTTCAAAAGTACAAATGTTATCCCAAGGAGCTTCTAAAAAAACACCATCTCATGAAATCTTTAAAAGAACATTATCTCAAGGAACCTTTAGAAACGGTACCTCATGACATGTATGGATTCATAACATGAATCTGAAATTTCATCCCAGATCTGGAAAACTCGAATGACGATAAATATTCACTGGAAGTCTTACGCATTTCAGTTATAATGATTATTATAGAAAGATATTTAGCAAATGGTGTTTTATGGTTATATCCCATTTATTGAATCAACGATATTCATGCTGACTAGCCAAAAAAAAAACCTTTATTCATTATAAAAAACTTCTAAGCCACCAAATACAATAAACATGTTAGTATTAGAACTTTCGGAAAATCAAATACGACACATACTGGTTTTCAGGAGAATTCATTTGACAATGTTGAATCGCATAACGAAAGGGTTAGTATTAGTGATCGAGAAGTAAATTCAAACAAATGTACAACATTATATTTAATGGGTCCGAGATGTTTTTTTGCTTCGCTAAGACTCTGTTCTAAATGCCTAAACATTGTAAGTAATTAATGTTTTATATATCAAGTGTTGCTCATGATAGATCAGATGATTTATGTCATAAAAAATGTCGATACGTAATTTTACTCAATCATCCTGTGATGGAATCAATTACAAAAATAAAACAAATGGTAAACGGACGCCATTCGTTCCATCTACAGACAATGGCTCTTATATTCAGGATCGAAGCTGATAAGCGCTCTGAACTATATGAATTTATCTGGTAGGTATTCGATTGCATTGTTATTCGTTGCTTCAAGTAATAGTAAGAAATTTATGAATTCCTAGTAATTTCGGATTGTCATCACGCTATCACAGTACATTTTCTCAAAAGCAGTTGTATCATAAGCGGCTTTTAGAACATCTAAAGTCCAAAATCAACCGTTCTCCGATGAATCAAGTTGGACAAATGCGGACGACTGGTGACCGAAATTATTTGATAATTTACGATTTTAAATGACTGGAGAATTGGAGTGTTAATGTGTAAAAGTATTCATTATTTATAAATTTAGCAATATAAATGTGTTCAATTTAAGAACTTTTTTATTTTTTATACATACTATAATTTTATTCAATATTAGGGTAATAATGCAAGTAATTATCTATTTTTTACCATAGTGCTTATACTTACATATTACACGCACTCTGGTTATATCGACACAAAAAAAAAAAAAAATTGTCAGATGTCGGTTTGACCAGAAGCATTTTCATATTAAGTATATATGATCAAAATTTTTAAAAAATGCCATTATAGCCAGTTGCCATTACGCGGATGTTGATATAACCAGAGTGATGTGTAATACTGTATATATTTATTAATGCTAGAAAGTAAATTTCTAAATCCATTGTCCAGATTAAGTTTTGCATATATCACGTAAAAAAAAAGAAAAAAAATATTAGAAATAATAAGTGTCGCGGCTGATGCTGAAATTTGGAGTTTCGATTTAAAAATATAACCTCTGCTAAAATCCGCATATACACTTTATTTATCAATTCTAGCTCAACCCTAGAAAAAAAACATTCCCAAAAAAAATTTAAATTTTCATAACGATAAATAGTTCCAGCCGCTACATTAAATAATCACCAGTAGTTTTTTTTTCAAGCTTTACTAAATAACCAAGTTCAACTTCTTTCAATTTATTTATGACAGCAAGTTCATATATACACGAGTGATTCTCAATACAGTGAACAGGTTCGAATAATTAGAACAAATAGTTTATGGATTCGCTTTATATAGACTTTTAATTATTATACAAATTAAAATTAAATTATTACTATACAAATTAAAATTAAATATATATCGATATAAATATTAGAAGATAAATATTACTAATTCTTAGAATTAATGAATTAAACAGATTAGGTTTTTTAAAAAGGATAATAAATATTTAAGAACCTAGAAAATAATTATTATATAAATTATATACTATACAAATTAAAAAAATTAGTAACTATTATTTTGGTGACTTTTTTATCCGTTGCCTTACTCATTGCTTTACTCAATGCTTGTATGTAGAAGTAAATCAAATCAATAATTTTAAAGAAAAATGTTCCAGCAATAGCCTACAATGCATACCAAGATCCATTCAATCATCTCAAATCCAGCCCTAACTGACAAAAGACCAACGCACCATATTTCCAATAATGATACAAAAAATACAGTGATTATAATTGCTACTTCTCCAACCAATACGATCACTGGCGAAAGAATTGTCATAAAGATTAAAAATACCAAAGTTATTATAGCATTGTATATATTCTCAAGGCTAATATATTCAAAATGTTTTGTCCAAATCTTCTTTACAAATCTTATCACTAATGGAATATAAAGAATTTTACATGCAATAATAACTACGGGAATAGTGACGACTAAACAGACCAACACCATTATCAAAGAAAGAAATGAACGAAAAATATTAAGATCCACACGTTCTCCTTTATAAGTTCTGTAATCATGAATCATCGAAGGTATCTCAATATAAAAATATTTCCAAATAGATTTAATAAATTTCACAGATTTAAGAATTGGTTTTGCTACTGGTGATTCCGAAAATTTGTCCCACCTATTGTCAACATCCAAATTAATTGTCTCCAAGTCATTTCTGAATACTTTATGATATATAAAATATATCAATGCAACGATAGATGAGAGTGTAAAAAATGCATCATTTGATCTTTTATAATATTGCTTGATAGGATCATAGAGTAGAATTTGAAACGTGTAGAAGATTGGAAGAAGCAAACCAAATGGAAAGTAGATTATTAGTATGTATGGTGTGCATAGAAGGATAATAATTTTAAGATTTGGACCAAGATAGTTGTTGAATATTATTCCATAATATAGATAGAATAAGTTTCGTAGAAAGAATAATATGAAGAGGATGATAGTCGGAATAGTACATATTATAAGTACTGGAAGCACATATAATATGAAGTCAAGTACTATAAGAATTATACTCAATACAAAGCGAATTAGAAAGTGCATTTGATTTGATAATATCACGAATCACCGATAAAATTATTTTCATGATGTGTTTATATTTTTTTTTTCCATAAACCTGAGTACGAGCTAAGCTCTAACTTGTGTTAGAAAACCAATTTTCTGTCGTCAATGGTTATAGTTAGTCACCTAAAATAGAGGTAGATCATAACACGCGACAATCTCAATTAAGGTTCTCGACCGAGCTAAACAAAAGCTGAAAAGTCAAAACTCATGTCCGTCAATTCAAATATCACATTGTCAATGAGAAATCTTGCCATTAATGTTAACCAATTTTTAATTTAAACTATACGTATTCAGGCTTTATCATACTTTATAATGTTTTTTATTATTGTCTACTTTCTGATTCTGTTTAAGGTTAATGGGAATTTGTAGATTTCTTACAATCATTCACTTCAATAATCTCAATAATAATTGTTTTGCCAAGATATGGGCTGCTGCCGTCAATAAAATCAAGCAGATCGACATTTTAAAAAAGTTATTTAATTCAATATCAAAAGAAAACCTAGTTCCTAGGTTTTCTTTTGAATCAGAAATTTTTCGAGATACGAGCCATGAAAGTTGAGGCGTTAAAATGTAAATCTGCTTAGTGTTGGCCGATGATCTAAGCCATACCTTTTTTTTTATATGACCTTGATCATATAATAATGACTTTTTGGTCGGTTATATTAAATGCTAATGAAAAATTTTTTACTACGTATGATTCTTGCTATATTAAAAAAGGTCATAAGTTATATCAATCTTCATTATGACCAAATGACCTATGACAGGTCATAAAGATAATATGGGTATCTGCTTGATTTTTATTGACGGCAGTCCATATGGTTTACTCAGAAACGAATGATTCCAAAATCATCCGATTGCTTGTATAAATCGGTTTATAATTCTACCAAACAGCAAAATCGTGTCCACTTCTTATTGGTAAAAAAAAAAAATAATAATAAAAACTTTTTAAATTATTATAACCTTTTTAAAAAGCTGAAACAAAACCTCTCTAACAAATCAAAAGATTTTTAGCTAAACTATTATGCATTACTGTCAAGATTTTTTATTGTTTTACCGGTTAAGTAATTCATTTCGGTATAATGATAATATAGACCGGTGTAACAAAAAAATTTCGAAAACTATGTGATATTGTCAAATCATAACATAATTGTAGTAATTTTTTTCTTAGATACTTCAAAGTGAGAAAGCGATTGTTAAAAGCATAAAATCCAATAAACACACTATACTAAAAATATACGTTGATTGCCGTCCACTAATAATAAACGAGAAAAGAATGAAAATCGAAATAAAATTATAAAAACTAACCAAGTAAATGCAATTGCATCAGAAAACCTTGTAGATTTTATTTTTAATGCTTTTCCGGAAGATTATAACGATGATTATTTATTCGAGTAAAAAATTTAATTTAATTTAATTTAATCAAATATTTAAATTCAAACCAATTTCAAATCTAAACTTTTCAAATTAAATCAAATTTAAATATAATTAAATTTGATCTAATTTGACAAATTTTAATTTAATCTGAAAAACTATCCCTTAATCTGTAAGCTTTTCCAGGCAAATTTGTTTGGAAAATTATTAAAAATATGCTTATAATCTACTTTTTTTAAATTTTAAAATATTTAAATAAAATTTTATTTGATAATA